TGATGTATTGGATGATTTGGTTGTGTCTCTTTGTAAATTTACGAACCTCTCAACTCCATTGTCTATTGAAGAGGCCATTGTTTCCTTCGGAGATGATGCCAGAGCGAGGATGGCAACCACAACAGTTTTCACTATAGCAAATAGCTATGGTGATTGTATCCACAGTGGCTGGAAAAACATATTGGATTGTGTCTTAACCTTGCACAAGCTCGACCTTCTACCTGCATATCTAGCTAGTGACGCAGCTGATGAAATCGAGTCCTCCTCTGACCATGAGCGGGGTAAGCCTGCTACAAGTTCTTTGCAAAGAACACAGACAGCACCTGCAGCCATTCCCCAGAAATCTTCTAGTCTGATTGGACGGTTCAGTCAATTCCTATCCTTCGATATGGAAGAGCCGAATTTGTACCCGACTGAGGAAGAGCTCGCTGCTCAACAGTGTCTTCGTGAGATAGTACAGGAATGCCACATCGATAATATATTAATGGAGAGTAAGTTTCTCCAAGCGGAGTCTTTATTGCAACTTGTTGATGCCATTATCTTTGCTGCATGTCGATTCAGCAAAGGAATTGAAGATGAAAACACTGCAGTCTTCTGCCTGGAGTTATTGATCACTATCACACTGAATAACCGGGATAGAATTTTGATAATCTGGCAAAAGGTATACAAGCACATATCGGATATTGTCCAGCAGAATGCGGTACCATGCACTCTAGTTGAAAAAGCTGTGTTTGGGCTCCTTAAGATATGCCAGCGCCTGCTTCCTTATAAGGAAAATATAACCGACGAGCTTCTAAAGTCCATGCAACTAATATTGAAACTTGATGCTCGGGTTGCTGATGCGTATTGTGAACCTATCACGCAAGAAGTCATGCATCTCGTGAAAGCAAATGCAACTCACATCAGATCCCATTTGGGTTGGCGCACGATTATCTCCTTGTTATTTATCACTGCTCGACATCCAGAAGCATCCGAGTTCGGATTCGAGGCACTAGCATTCATCATGTATGAGGGGGCACATCTTTTGCCGTCTAATTATGTTCTTTGCGTGGATGCGGCAAGGGAGTTTGCTGAGTCTCGGGTCGCAGAGGTTGATAGGTCTATTTCTGCCCTAGACATGATGGCAGGTTCAGTTGTTTGTCTAGTAAGATGGTCTTTCGAGGCTTGGAATGCTGCGGAAGAGGAGGCTGCTTTGGAAGTAAGTCAGGACATTGGAGAGATGTGGTTGAGGTTGGTGCGTGGACTGAGGGCGGTATGTTAGGACCAGAGGGAAGAGGTGAGGAACCATGCCGTTTTAATGTTACAGAGTTCTTTAGGAGGGGTAGACAGAATTCAGATTCCGAATGCTTTGTGGTTCCAGTGTTTCAACCATGTGATTTTTTCATTAATGGACGATTTGCTAGAAATTGCACAGGGTAGCTCCTCAAAAGAGTACCGGAAAATGGAGGGTACACTTGTTTTAGCCACAAAATTATTGTCGAAAGCTTTCTTACTGTCACTACAGGATCTATTGCAGCAACCATCCTTCTGCAAATTATGGCTCGGGGTTCTCGATCGTATGGAGAGATGCATGAAAGTCAAGTTCCGAGGGAAACGTGGTGAAAAAATGCATGAATTCGTCCCTGAGCTTCTCAAGAACACTCTGCTCGTGATGAAGACTACTGGGGTGCTCGTGCCGAGTGATGATCTCGGCGGAGAGAGTTTCTGGCAATTGACATGGCTGCATGTGAAGAACATTGCCCCATCTTTGCAATCCGAAGTGTTCACGGAACAAGAACTGGAGCAGGTACAAGCAAAACAGCAAAAGACAACCACTCTTCCATTGACCGACGGGGCGTTGCTCATTCCATCAATTGAATCGACAGTTTGAAGAAGCAGTCGGAAAATCCCAGACCACAAATCTGTTTGAAGATGATGTAAAATCCAGTCATACATGTTCACCATTGCAAAATCTCAGAAAGTCCAGAACTGGAGCCATGGAAGAAGGGAAGCTTGATAGTTTGGTTATGGCAACTCCATATTTTCCGTTGTAGTCGAACTTGGAACCGGAGGTCCGACCACCAGTTCAGTACACTGTCCAATTTTTTATTCCCTTGATTCGAAGAGTTTGCAGGTAGAGTTGCCATTTGTTCTACAAACAAAAAGGGATTAGAGTTTGAAAAATTTTGTTTTGGCACATAAAATCTCTTTTTACCGGAAACCATTTTCTTTGTATACTAAATCATATTAATAAATTTTGTACCAACATGTTTTAATTACTGTTTATTTATATTTAGGATAAAGAACTCAAATGGTCCCTCGATATAGGATAATGCATTATTAAGTTCATCGACTATTAAAAGTTATAAAATTGTCATTTGACTATGGAGTGTTACTTTGTTGACTTCCTCGAATATTAAAAGTTATAAAATTATCATCCGACTATTCATTATGTTTAAGACTTATTCTTTTCCGTTAAAAAATTAGAGGTTGTTTAAGTTGGATTTTAACATGATAATTAGCTGACCCTTATTGTCATATGTAATGAGGTAAGAGGGAGGTAGGATAGTAGGCTGCCCTCAACACCAGGTTGAGAGCAGTTTCCGTAGGAGACCTCCAAATTATAAAATGCCCTCCGTGGGATTATATCCCACTACCCCAATGTTAAGAGCCTTGTGCTCTACCAACTGAGCTGGATTTTAACATGATGATTGAGATATAATAGTCGTTTCAGATTTTGGGGTCGAATTTTATCATATAACATTTAACAAATTAACTTTCAGCTCAAAATATCATCCATTTTTTAACGGAAAATGTCGAGTTTGGAACATAATGAATAGTCAGGTGACCATTTTATAACTTTTAATAATCGAGTAACTCAACAAAGTAACACTTCATAGTTGAAATTGTAACTTTTAATAGTCGAGAGACTTAATAAAGCAGTACCCTATAGTCGGGAGACCATTTACGTTATTTACCCTTTATATTATTTAGTTTCTTTTTATAATTGTAGGGTCTCTTGTTTGAGCTGCGTATGAGATACGAGCGTTAAATCTTAAATTTTAAATCAATAAAAATACGACTTATCAAATCGATTAATTTAGAATATTATCATACATATATATATGACATGCAGACCATGAGCAAGAACATGCAGGGCAAGGTCGGGTTGGATCAGAGTCGACAGATTAACGAATTGTCATGCTTCTTCGTCCAACAGTTCTCGAGTCGAGGCCACCCGTTCCGATCGACAGCAGGCGGGTCCGAAACATCTATGGTTCAAGTTAAGGGAACAATTTCTCGTAAAAGCAATCACTTCTATCAGAGTTATTCCAACCTACATGTTTGATACATTGATCCATATATGTCCTTCCAAGTTCCAAAGGGTTCCCACAGAGACCCGACCCTTCATTGTCGGTTATGATGCACCTTTATCGGTACGTCATAACCTACACATATACATAAATCGACTGATTATGTGTTTTTGAGGTTTACAAAAAAACATGTAATCGGTCGATTTTCGATAAATTTTCTTTATAAATCTAGTTGACTTATAATGTATATGATAATGCTTTAAGAGAACTGTTATTTCATACATGCCCGAGATTTTTGTGGCCCTAGGACAAACTTAAAGTTTAGACCTCTAGTAATAAATATACATAATTCAATTATCCCTTAATGTTTATCAAAAAGGTTTATTTTGATCTCTACTCTTCTTTTTTAGCATTTTGATTTATTTTAGAACAAAAAAACCTTAACATTTGACTGAATAGTCATTTTGCCTCTTGTTATTTTTCTTTTTGGAGCATTTTGTCCCCCGACATTTTATTTTACAGAAAAAAATCCATATTTTAGGGCATTAACATTTAGTTAACTAATAATTTCCATTAATATAGAGAATTTTTTTTGTCTCAAAATGTTACGTTTGGAGCCAAAATGAACCAAAAAGAATAATGATCAAAGTGAATATTTAGTCAAACTTTAGGTGCAATTTTAATATTATACCTAACAATTATAAAAATAAGAGTTAATTGCATCAAATATCCCCAAACTATAACCTTTATTTTCAATTAGTCCTTAAACTTTTAAAGATTCTAATTTGATCCCCAAACTATGACTCTCATTCTAAACTAGTCCTTTAACTTTTGAACATTCTAATTTCATCCCCAAACTATGACATATTTCTAAATTGGTCCCCAAACTTCTAAATATTCCAATTTCATCCCCAAATTCATCCAAATATGTAAATAATTTCACCATAGTTTAACCTAAATTTTTCCCCAAACTTATAATAATATAACTTGGTCTAACGATTTTATTAATAAGGGATGTGATTAGTATATGCATATAGTTTAGGATGCAATTGGAATGTTCAAAAAGTTTAAGGACTGATTTAGAATGAAGGTCATAGTTTAGGGATGAAACTAAAATATTCAAAAGTTAGATGACTAATTTAGAATGATAAATACATTTTAGGGATGATATTAAAATATTTAAAAGTTTAAGAACCAATTTAAAATAAAAATTATACTTTGAGAACATGTGATGCAATTAACTTAAAAAATAATTAATTTTTAATTATAAATTTTTAATTGTGGACCCTAAGCAGATGACCCTCCAGCTCAGGCCCAACAAAAACATTGGTTTTATAGAATACACATAAAGACGGAAAAATAATTTTAATGTAGAGATGCAAATTTAAGAAGATATATTAGAAATTTAGAATATACGAAATTAGATAATCAACATAGAATAATTAAATAAATGAGAATTTAAAATTTTCAGAGATACAACCACACCCAATCTCTCTTAATTCATCCCTAAATACATTCAGTGATGAGAATGAGGAGTTAAGGGACCTAATTGCACATTTATGATTTTTTTAGTGACCAAACATCACTTCATGGCCCTATTCAAACGGTTCCCCACCTTTCTCTCCTAAACGTTCTTTCCATCGTATATTTATCTCCATGCACAAATAAGAATCCCTTAGTTTTTCTTCCAAGAACGTAGAGCCAACGCCGGAAAGATGCCGTATTACACGACGCCGGACAACGACGAACCCGATGAGTTCGACGAGTACAATCCGAAGCCGTACAAAGGCGGATTCGACCTCTTCGTAACCTACGGACAACCGTTGGAGCCATGCAAGGCCACTTGCTACCCTTATTCATCCGAAGGTGATTTCGATTACGAACGTCCGAATTTCGGCTCCGGAAGCATACCTAGCGCATATGGCGGTGGACATGGGTCAGGTCATGGAAGGAATCCCGGACATGATGAACGACCTGGTCGAAAATCTGAGTACGGAGAACACGGATCCGAATACGGGGATTCGGAATCCAAATACGGGTCTAGTCATGGGAAGAAGCCAAGCCATGGTAGTGGAGGGTATAAGAAGTCGAGTTACGGGAATTCCGAGGATGAAGAAGAAGGATATAAAAAGTCCAGTCATAAGAAATCGAATTATAGGAGGTCAGAGTATGACGAAGACGAAGATGATAAGAAGCCGAGATATAGGAAAAAGAAAGAAGATGACGAGGATGATGATGATGATGACGACGGTGAGGATAAGAAGTCAAGATATCGAAAAAAGAAAAATGACGACGAAGATGATAAGAAATCGAGATATCGAAAAAAGAAGAATGATGATGACGAGGATAATGATGATAGGAAGAATTATGGCCGCAAAAAACACGTGAGTTATTCCAAATTTAAATAACATAGATCCAAGTGTAATGTACGTATCAGTCCATCTCAAAATTCACTCAATTATACCATGACTAACATTGCAGGGTAATGGCAGTGACAGTGACGGTAGCGGTGATGAAAAGAAGAGTCGTCGAGAGCAAAACCATCCGCGCCGTGACTACGACGACGATTAACCGGACCGGTGACTCACTGCATAAATGGAGTTCGATTCATGCCATAATATATACAGATACTAAATAAAGGGTTAGGGCATGCCTCATTAATGGTATCCATTACCTATCATCTTGTGTTTTCCGTATTATATCGAACGATATGTTTTGATTTCAAAATAAAAAGAAATCGTATTAAATAACATATGATTCATATATCATTCTTAACGGATAATCGATTCCTGATTCATTTGGTTTGACCGAATCCGATCCGTTTGTTTTCCTGAAACAAATATAAAGATTAAAACTGCAGGAAACAAAATGTTCAACTAAAGGAGCTTCTTCATTTCGAACATATACATATAGATTCGGGGTTTAAGTATTCGTGTCCGACACATATTCGAACATATACATAAAGCTTCGAGTATGTATCCGACATACACATGAACATATCCATGAACCTATGCTCAAAATTCGTGTTTGACGCGTATTCGAATATGAATCCGAGTTAATAAAGCGAAATTGGAAGGGTTATGGTAAATGGCCTTTCATCAACCTGCCCTTTTTGGCAACCATGGATCAATCTTTAGCAGCAATGCCAGTTTTCCAAGCAAAATCGATGGTGATCCTTACCGGAGGCCGGTGATTAGCTGCCAAAAAACAAGCGGTGTAAGCATCGTTCTCGGCCGTGGTAAACGCAAAGTTGCCGGAATCCACATTGTCTCCGATGTGATAAATGTGCCCATAAGCTGAACTCACCTAAAAAAACAAGTGTGTATACGCAAAACAACTTGTTATTTACACAATTCTTCTAAAATTCTAGATCAAAGGTGAGAGTTAATTCATAGGTTGACACTATAGATGGAGTTCGATTAACATGACACGATAGATCACATGTGACCTGTCGGATATTATGTCAAAAGGTTGTAACTTCCGAGAAGTACAAGACTCCGAAAATCCTACACCTAGAGATGTTCTTTTGAGACATCAATTGAGGATATATTTTCTGGAGGTCTTGGTATACGAAAATAATACAACAATCATACACACTAGAGCCATGATGATTATTTAAATTATAGGTTGACACGATAGGTGGAGTTCTCAGTTGTTAATTAATTTTAATTCTGACATATCACATGCGACTTGTCGAATATTACGTCAAAAGGTTGTAGCTTCTGAGAAGTGAAAACTCCTAAAATCCTATACCTAGAGATGTTCTTCGAGATCTCAACTGCCGATATATTTTCTAGAGGTCTTTGTATAAGAAAATGATACAACAATCGTACACACAAGAGCCATGATGATTATTTATAGATTGATCCGATAGATGGAGTTCAATTGATATAATCAGCTGTTAATTAATTTCAGTTATGACATATTATGTGCGACTTGTCGAATATAACGTCAAAAGGTTGTAGCTTTCGAGAAATGCAAGACTCCGAAAACCCTATACTTAGAGATGTTCTTTCGAGACCTCAACTCAGATATATTTTCTAGAGGTCTCGATTATGGCTGTAAATGAGACGAGACAGATCGCGAGCTACTCGAGATCGACTCGATCAAGGCTCGATAAATACTCTGATCGAATGGACTCGACTCGAGTTCTTAACGAGCCGAAACGAGCTACTCGATATTTGACTCGAAAAGCTCGTGAATAGCTCGAAAATATAATATATTAAGATTTTATTTTTTTAAAAAATAAATTATTAATAATATTAATATTTATGTATTGATTTTTTTAAAATACAGTAAGATTTCATGTATTTAAGGTTCATGTTCGAGTTTGAGTTTGAGGCTTCAATCGAGTTAAGTTTAAGATTTTTTTTCATTTCGAGCCTTTTCGAGCTGCTCACGAGCTTCAATTCAGGATTTCGAGTTCGAGTTGAGCTTGAAAATTTTAAGCTTGCGTGTTTTCGAGTCGAGTCGAGCTCCATTTCAGAGTTTTCGAGTCGAGTCGAGCTCCGCAATACTCGAGCTCGACTCGGCTCGGCTCGTTTACACCCCTAGTCTCGATATACGAAAATGATACAAGTACAATATTTTCCTATATCTAGAACATATAAATATATAATCTAACGTTCTCACTCAAATCCGAATAACATAAAACCCTAACAATTAGGGTTTTCTATTACTCGATTGCAAACTTCTACCATAGATTCAATCTCCAAACATTAAAAGAAACCCTAAAAAAATAGAAATAGTAGTTGGTGACATACCTTGACGGTGAGTTCATGAGAATCAGGCAAAGGGTAACCTTCGTCCTGATTGACAATGGAGTATTTGCCGACACTCATTCCATTTGTCTTAACATCTTCGGATTCGCATCCAACTCGAACCTCATCGACTCCCCAAACTCTGGTTCCAACATTAATCCTAGGACTATCAGAACTAAACCCAGATTTTGTGTACACATTCTTGTCTCAAACAAAGAACAAAAACAAATCTTAGAGTTTGTTTCGAACAATCGGATTGAGATCAGTTCCTTTTGATGTTGCTAATAATATGAATAGTAATGGTTAGAATTTGCCAATTTGGATTGGAACTGGGGGTTTTTTTATTAATGCCACGTTTGATACCCGTACTTCGATAAAATATTTAATGTGATATTCAAACTTTGACACCAGGATCAATATTATACGTTCTTTTCGAATAGTCTGAAATGATTATAAGATAATATGTGTTCAGAATCATTCTTAATCATTGATAACAAGTACAATAACAACACTCTCCTTGACCACCGAAGTCGCTTAATAGGTTCGATACTGTACATACACCATAATTAGTGTACTTAAGGTTAACATTATTGGTAAGATGTTTCATCAGGTTTGTCTCAATTCTCATGTCCATTTGGCTTTTAAAACCATCTCAAGTTCATGTCTTTCAGTTTGTAAGAAGTGACTTTAACTTGAGATGTTCCTTGGATGTTTTTCATCATAAATCTAGCATGAGATTAGGGGCGTGGCTGAGGCAGCGCTAAGTGCGCGACGGTGCAGGGCCTAAAAAAATAGGGGCCCCGAAATAGAGTATATCTATCGGTTGTTACTATTAAGAAGCAGAAAAATAGGTATAGAGCAGTGGTTAGATCATTGAGCTCATGACTTTGTTGATCTAAGTTCGAATCTCATTAACAAGTAAAATTATTTTTGGAAAAAACAATGCAAGTGGGCATGCTCAGTGTAATACAATTGTAAATTATTTTCGAGATCTAAGGACCCTTTACAAGAATTTGTACAGGGCCTCCAACAACCTAACCACGGCCCTGCATGAGATAAATGAGACAATGGTAGATCTCGCATGGGGTGATTTTGCACGTGGAAGACAACATTATGCAACTCACAAGTGTCTTCTCTTGTCCTTTTTTGTGTAATTTGAGTAAATACTGTGAAGAACACAAACAAAAATATTTTTATTTAATAAATAAAATTGTACATTACAAATTTGGTGATTGAACCCTACTCTTTCTCTCCTACTTCACTCACTCTACTTTAAATCTTTTCGATTTGCTCACTGAATTTAATACATTGAACTTTTTTGTCATTCAACCATTAAATTATTAACGACTTTAAAATGGGTTGTTAGATAAATGTAAAATACGTCGTTTTTAACGCCGTTAACTATTTGACGTCGGAGTGACCACAATAGAAGAGAGAGTAAAGTTCAATGACAAAAAAATCCAATATATTAAATTCAATAAGAAAATTGAATACTTTTAAAGTTTAATGAGCAAAACAAGAGAATAAAATTCAATGATGAAATTTATAATTTACCATAAATAATAATGCAAGTGCGATAGATTTGATTTAAAATTGCACGAACCAAGTTCTTGTTGGTAAAGAGATGATTATTATCCTTAGACGTCCCGGATTCGAGCACAAGTTCATTGTCAAATAGTATAGAATTTTTAATAAAAATACTACTTTATAATCACTTCAATTTAATTTAAAAATTGATTTAAAGTCGACATCGTCTTTCAAATCGATTAAAGATATAATATTTTTATATTTTTCTTGTGGAAAAAAATATTGAGTAGTTAAAGAGAACCATTTAAAATAAAAGTAATTAATACCCTAATATATAAATAATTGTATTTAAATATAAACAAAAACTCAAACAAATATATCCAATTGGCCCTTTATCATGTTTTATTCATGTAGATATAGCATTCACAACACTTTCCATTGTTCCAGTCAATTCCCAACAACACATTATAAGAGGGGCTTTTGTCCGAAAGTCTTTAGTCGAGAAGTCCGGTATCTCGTTCTCAAGATTCGAACCGCTCGCAAGACGAGACCGACACCACCTTAACAGACAGTATAAACCCTAACTGCAACATCTATAACTTCACCTATTCCTGAACACAGAAAAGTGGCAAATCCAGACACCCGTTTTACTTTAGTTTCAGTAGAGGACATGGTATGCCTGCTGCATTAGTTGTCTCTCACCATGGCTTTGTTCTTTTGCCTATTGTCTAAAAGTTCAACTTGAACCACCATGCGCGTTCCGTTCAACTTGACCAAGCAAGGAGCAAAGAGGTTACCCCGACCTCGGGGCCTTTGTTCGATCAACTCATTTAATCATCCTTTAAGCAGATACATTATGCAACTCGGGATTCAAATCCCAACACCTGCAAGTCCGTTCTCTTATCGGCTAACCCCCTCTATTCTAATAACACATCAACAGTTAAAACAGCATGAGTTAAGAACAAGGGGAAGAAAAGCTTTGAATCGAACTATAGAAGTGCCACCAGCTCCGAATGCAAATCCTAACACCTGCAGTCAATTCTCTTATCTCTGGAATACAACCGCCATTATAGAAGAAAAACATCAATAAATCAAGAGTAAAAACTATAGAAGTGCCTGCAGAGATAGATTAGTTCAATTATTTTCCTTATCCTCCAAAATATTTCCAACCACTTCCGCAATCGGATCAAATTGATATTACTCAAGCAAAGACATGGTAAACAATCAAGACCAGAATAGGTTTATTTTAGTAACTAGCAATGGATTGAGCAATAGATCGAATAATATGGACATTGCAGCAGTAAGAATGTAGATTAAAACACAAAGCAAACTTCTGCAACAAAAAAGAAAAGGATATTAAGCACCACATCATTTAGGCCAAGTGTATGCATTCTCGACTCAGCCGGTTCAAATCCCTCTTCCAGACTTCCCCGAAACTTAGAATAAAAATAAAATGGTTTTAGATATAACATACTCAAATTATTCGACTCTCCAACGAAGCACTTACTTCAAGTATAGAATAAAAAGAAACTACACCAATTTTTACATCAATGATACTCAGAACCTCCCACCAAATCAGTTTCTCATATAATGTAAGTAGCTATGGCACTGCGATTTTTCATTTTTCTTGAAATACCCATATCCAACACGTTTCCAAAGGATGGGGGTTATGACCCTTAACATGAAAAAATCAAACCAAACATATCGGACACATACCAGTACCCTCAAATATGTCCAAGTACCATACGTAAGCAGTCCAACAATATTGGTAATAGAATATACACCACACTAAAGGGAGATTAAGCAACTCAGTTACTGGCGTGTTGCAAAAACCTCAATGAGCTCCTTCATTTGCTCAAGTTACAACAACCATTGAAAAAGGAATAAACTCTTGCCTTTCATTTGAGGTCTTTGTGCCGGACTTAATTAAAAAACATACACTGTAGAAAACAACAATACATAGTCCCTTCCCATGCTTATGATGTCCTTCAGTTAAGAAATCCACTGGCAGCCTAAACTAGCATGTTTTACCACTAAACAATGCCTTGCATATATCATTTGTTGACGAGTGGAACCACAAACATTGATGACTAGATGCCATTTTAGATCCACAAACACCATGTTTAGCATGGCAGGAAAATAGAGACGGAAAATGGCAAGGTAAAATGGGGGAAGAAAGTTATTTTCCTTTCTCGTGTTTGGCATAAAGGATGGGAAATAAAGAAGCATAATGGTATATTTAAATAGAAAGAGTTTCCTTCTCCAAGCTGTAAATACACCCATTTTCATATTACAAAACAAAGGGATGCATCAGAAAACTTTGTTCTTTCCACCCATTTCTTTCCTTTCCCCCATCCAAACATAGTAAGATATTATGACTACCACCAAATTCTACAGTATAACTCGGAATTTATATTGCATGCTCAAAGGAAATGGTTTAAGCTGGGGGAAAGTAGAAAATAATCGGTATTACTCTTCAAGTTTATGAATTTTGAGTAATCATGTTTTCATGAATCTATCCCTCAATAGAGTTCAGTAGATACCAATGGATTTCTTGATTAAGGGGCAATATGAAGACACAAGGACCATTTAGCTTATTCAGATGCTAATAAAATTGAATGAAAATGCATGTATTCCCGTTTTTGTCTTCACCGCTACATATTGGGGTAAACTGGGGATAAGATTCAATCATAAATTGAGATAACCAGCGAAATTAAAGAAATAAAGAAGACAAATGTCAGATAATAAACTCAGCACTCTCAGTACAACTGCCAGTGGATGGAAGACGGTACAAGGATTAGAACCCCTAAACAAATGCAAACTAAAAAGCAGAAACAACAAAATAAGGAAATAAAAGTCTGCAACAAGCATGCCGGCTAGCTAGGTTCTTGGGAAGCACATATAACAGAGCTTGGTGTTTTTGGTGTCATGGACATGGCAAATTTCAAAGATAATACTAAGATCTTCACATATATTTGATCCTTCTAGGTAGTTGCATCAGGGTGGGCCATGAGTATGTCAAACCATGGTTCATCTGGTCTTCAGGTTTAGGCAGGCTTCAGCAAAGTAGGCAGTAGGCTGGCTTCAGGCTTCATAAATCAGCTGTTTTAATGGGATTGGAATGGCAACAAAGGGAAAAAAGAGCATCAGATCTGTAATTAGGGAGATTGGATAGGCTATACACTAGTATGTATTGGTCCAAATCAGAGAATTGCCAGTTATAGAAATAGACATACAAATACTTAGAAAACTATAATCTACCTGCACGTACCAATTCACGGAATTTTAGTAACTGTGGTTTTAGCGCCGGGAGATAGGGTTATGGGTTGATAACCTGGTAAGAGAAGTTAATGATGAATATTGAAGAATCCTAATAGAGTGAGCATGTACCAACCTAATCAAAACTAAAAGACCTCAAGACATGCTTGGGAAAGAACAAATTTTAGACAGGCATTGTGCCCTTGAAGAAAACTTTATGCCATGTAGTTCAAATATTTAAATGTAATGTTTGTAAAAGAGCAATCACTTCCCCAGACCCAAGCATTTTTTCCTACAGTAAATGGCATCCATGACAATAATATGAACAACAAAAATGTTCTTTTAAGGAAAGAAATCATCTCACCCAGTACCACCACGCCCTGAAGAATAACCTCCATAAGCTCCATAAGCACTGGAACTACCACCAATCTACAAATAATATTAACAATCATAATTATTCATTATCACCACGGTGAGACAGAAAGAGATGCAACAATGTAAGAAAAATGGGAAAGCTAAAATACTAAAAGAAACTATATAAGAAACAAATATGGAAGGGAACAACCGAACAAGATAAGCCACTACAAATATTCACTCGATAACTGGGATAACAAACAAATTATATTTTTATACTTCACCAGACTAAGGTACTATAAAACAGTAAAAGTAAAAAAATACCTGGAGACCACCATAACTTCCATAGCTGTCATTATGAGCTAAATCACTGGAGCCATAACCACCAGAATAAGTATGCAGACGCCCATGTCTCTTGCCCTCTCTACTTTCATAACTCAAACTGTCTGTTCCTTCAGTTGGCATGTGAAGATATGGCAAAACTGGCACTAGTGCAGAAACAGCACCTTCCCTATCAAAAAGATTGGCTCTTAACCGCGTTGTTACTTGTACCAGGGCATCCTTAGCAACATCAAGGTCTCCAGAAATCTGATAATACATATAAACCAGAAATGTTTACTCTCCATTCCTGTTAATTAAAAAACATACAAATACAGAGAAATGATTACGAAAATCCTACAAAAGCACCAATGGTACTACACCTGAACCATCTCATCATCTTCAGATGCTATTTTTGGAAGGTTTTCCTTTGACAAGATACGGATATTAGCTTTTGTAATCCTTCTCATCTCAGTTACAATAGCTCCACCTTTACCAATAAGGCAGCCAATACGTGAAGTTGGCACAAGTAAACGGGTTGTGAATGATATAATTCCAGAGTCTCTTTCAATCTTCTCACTGCATCTAGGTTGCAACCGTGCAGCTGCTTCAATAGCAGGTGAAAATGTATCCTCAAAGAACTAATACAACACAAGATTAGGAAAATCATCAAATCTAGCACAAGGTACAATAACAGATACTTCCACAAGACATAAACATAGAAAAGGTTAAAAGCTGACCTCTTTAGCTGATATAGTTATTATGCAATCATCTCCATCTGTACTTGTGCTATCTACTTTGATAGCTGCACCTGATTCCCGCCTGATCTGGTTAATTATTGCACCACCTTTGCCAATCACACCTCCAATATTAGCAGTTGGACAAACCAAACGAAGAGAAAATTCTTTTGATGACATATCATCCCTTGGAGCTGAGTACATGGAGCGTGGCCATTCCCCAGTGTCACCTTTGTATCGTCCATATGGACCAACCAATGAAGTTAGCCCTACAATCTGGGCACCAGAAGATGGACCAAGCATTGCACCACCAGCAGGATATGCATTGGACACAGCAGAAGTAAGCAAGTGCTGAGTTCGTGAAGGATTCTCATGAAGGCGAGATGCAATTTGATGCAGAGCCCTTTTCACAACAGCAGCTTCACCAGATATCTATAGCCAAAAGTAAATTAAAAGCATAACAAACCAACCATCTGAGAACATAATAATAAGATGAAGAAGAAAAACTATCAATGTTACAGCTTACAGGTAATAAACAAGAGTAAAAATATCAGAGGGAGTTAAAAATATAACATATCTGATGCATGCCAAAGTAGGAAGCGCAAAATGCTAGGAGTATAATTCATAAACCGAAGAACTCAAGACTGAAAAGTTAAATGCTGAATTTGAAGACTTCAGCAATTAAAGACAACAAAGTTTGCGTCCAAAACATTGACCCTAACCACAAGTAAAACATCTTGCTAATGCTTTTAATAAGCTAAGACTTTTCTCCGAATAACTTTTCCTGTATCAATGTATGGTGTGAAATATATTTTAAATGAGAGGAGATAGTGAAATAAATCAGCATAATCTAAAAACACTACCACAACAATTGAATAGTCAAATTACCTGTACAAGTTCATCTGAAGCGAAGGCACAAGAAGGTAAATCATCCTTAAGAATGCGAATCTGGGCACCAGTTTCACTACGTATGTTTTGAACGATCTGTCCACCCTTTCCTATGATACATCCAATCTGATCAGAGGTTACAAGAAGCCGAGCAGTAATTTGGCGGCCTTCAGAATCTTCATCACTGTGCAAATCTTCAGCAACAACTTTATCATGCACACGGAATAAAGCATCTTGTGCAGGAGAAACAAAAGTGTCCCCATCTTCAAGGGCATTTGTATCATCTCTAGAGCTGTAGATAGTTACCACACGCTCCTCGGAACCAGGAATTGCCTCACCAATTCTAATCTTCGATTTGGTGTCTGCCCTTAATTGCCTAACAATCTCCCCTCCCCTTCCAATAATGCTTCCTATCTTTCTCGCAGGGCACAAATACCGATACACAGTATCATCTGAACCAATAACAAATTGTTCCCTGTCATCACCTGCATTTCTCCTCTTATATGATCCATTCTCAGAATTATCAGACTGAGAATGAGCCCGCTTCCCATAGCTATTCCTCTGACCCGCCATTATTATCAGCTTAATAAAGACCTGACTGCAAAATGTAAAACATTTCAAAGACTTACTAACTGAACCGATCTTGAGGATCAAACCACCCAAAATGTAAGGCACCAGCACAAACGCTCATCAACAGGCCCAATCAACAGGTAGTACAGTGGCATATTTTCATTTTTCAATCATCAAATCATAATTCAGATGACAATAGATTTCCACTTGATTGTTGGTTTTACGACTTGCTTATACAAACAAAAAGAACAAAAAAATGTCTAGATAGAGAAACATATACATATTTTTGAAAAGATAAAAATATTCACCATAACGAACAGCAATATGTTCAAAATTACTTTCACACATAAAAATAATGTTTCAACTTTGAATGAATACTAGGTTTCAAACATTCGTTCAAATAAAGTGAAAAGCAAATGGCAAAAGTATCAGTAACAATATTGAAAACAAAACATTTTCATAAATCCTTAGCACTCCATAGCTCAGCTTTTCAAATAGGCAAATTCAAAGATAAATAACCAACTCATGTCAACTTTGACCAACAAGTTCATCTGCTACAAGAAATTAAAATCCCACTGCAAATCACCCATCCGAAACTAATATAAACAGATAATGAAGAGAAAACCAGTATTAGAAAGACTCAATAACGTGAAAGAATATAAAAATCAAATGAAATGAAACCCACAAATTCACACAGCATACATGCAAATAATCTCGAAAAAAATAACAGAAAAAAATAGACTAGATGAATAAACTACAATGCGTCACATCAAACACAATAAAGCTCAAGCCAAAGGGGGAAATACCTATAATTTCAGCTAATAATGAATTGAAAAAGTTAATAAACAACATCTATAAACGTAGATCTGATCAAAAGAGAGTCTAAGAAAGAAAAAAAAAGAGGAAACTAAAGAAGAGCAATCAAAGGGGAAATAATTGCCAAAAGACTTTGGGGTTTTACCAGAGAATTGAGGTTGATTCTCAACGTGTAAACGACGAGATTCTAAACAAATGAAAGAAAACAAAAAGGAATTTGGGGGCGAAAGATGAGTTGCTTTCGTTGCGTGAATTGTTCTTGATTTTTTTTCTAGGGTTTTGCTTGACCGTTCTGGCTTTATTATAGAGTAAATTACGTGTTTAGTATCTAAACTATTAGTTTTAGTTTGTTTTAGTATTTTAACTTTTAATTTTTTTAAATTATATCTAAAATTTAGTTTTTGTTTCGTTTTAGTATCCATTCAAAATTTAACATTAAGTTTTGAAAAAAATTGAAAGTTTAAGTACTAAAACGGACCAAAACTAATAGTTTAGGTACTAAATTCGTTAAGTTTTTAACGGTGGGGTACTAAAATTAAACAAAAAATATACTAAAATTAAACAAAAACTAAATGTTATGTGTGATTTTGAAGAAATTAAAAGTTTAGATATTAAAACGGACTAAAATTGATAGTTTATGTACTAAATGCATTAAGTTTTTAACGGTGAGGGTACTAAAATGAAATAAAAACTAAATAATTAAAAGTTTAGGTGCTAAAACGGATCAAAATTAATAATTTAAGTACTAAATTCATAATTTACCCTTATTTTTATTATATATATATATATATATATATATATATATATATATATATATAACAATTGATTTTTTATTTTTGATGAAATAAGAGTGTAAACTAAAAATTAAACAGCAGCTTCCAAATCACGAAACAACAGAGTCTTGCTGTAATAGAGAAGCAATTTCCAAAGGTGGCGTGCAGAAAACCATGTCAGCAACACCTCTTGTTACTGCCATTTCGCTAGTTTATCAGCAACCTGTTAATATGTCTTAGGGTCAAACAATTGACTTTAATCCAAAAAAAATTAGCCATTAATCGAACCGAACTTTCTTTTTTAATTAGATTAATTTGAGTAAAATAGATTTATTTTTATTTGAATTAAAATTTAATTAGGTATTTATAATTTAATAATCAAGAAATAATCGAATCTTAATTCTTAATAGGCTTCAGCTTGAAATATGTATTTAATATATATATATATATAATATTTAATAATTTCGGTTAATTTAGTAAATTAAGCCATAGATATTTATAAGTATTACCATGTCATCACATGGTTATGAAGAAAGCGGTGGGATGATTAAAAAAATCAATCTTTAAAATTGAGGGATTAAATTAATTTTTTTTAAAATATAGTGAATAAAATAAGAGTAATAAGAAAGTTTAGTTACTAAATTTGTAACTTACCCTCTTTATATACGACGTAATAAATCTGAAACCTTTTACAGTCTGTTTCAATCATTACACGACGAACACCTAATTCCAAGCCAAACATAGGCCTTCATACACACCCCGTAACTCCTCATCCAAGACTGAACACGCTCCCTCGGCCCGGATACACTGCCCTGCAGAATCTCGCAGAGCTCCACCGCAAGTTGCGAGTCCCGATGCTGGATTTCGACCCCCATCCGTGTTCAATTTATACCAGCCAACCGGAGGTGGTTGTCACGTAATTGTGTCTCCGTCACGCGACAATGGAGCAACCCCTCTTCTTCCATAGAGCGTCACGACATCTAATGCTTCACTGCACAACCGTCGTCCACGGTGAAAGATACTCTCCCTGTCAACGAACCGAGGTTCGAAAATCACCTTGTTCCTTCGAGTCCAGATACACCACAAGCGCGACCCAGATAGGAAATCCCAGGCTTCTATGTTAATCGAAAACCGAGCCTGCTGTTGGAGATCGGCTAGTATCTAGTCATGGAAATTCATATCAAGAAATTCCCCAAGGAGCTCAGGTTTTACCACTGCTGCCTACATCACTACAGCACCGGACACAGACCCTGAAGACATGCGAAATAGACTCTACCGCTGCTCCACAAAGTTGGCAGCAGGAGTCGTCCATAAAATGTCAACAAACACGCTCGATGTTGTTCATAAAATGACCGACCCTTGAAAATGGATCGATCCCTTGGATTCCAGAAAGTTTTGAGTCAATCCCTTTTACAAAAAGTTCGATCCCTTGAAAAAAAGGATTGATCCATTCACCAAAATGATCAAACCCTCGATGAAAATGATTGATCCTTCCCTAAATGATCAATCCCTTTCTTGCAATGGTAGAATTATTTGAAAAAAATATCGATCCCTTGTGTATTAAATGCTATTTTTGAATGTAGGTAACGACTATAATGATCCTCAACGGTATAAATTGAAGGTCAAAGCATCCCAAGGTCAACAAGAACCATATTGATCAAACATATCAACATCAAATAATTCCTCGATGCTTTATTTATTTCAATCTTTTCATTGTAACACACTTGTGAGCTACATTGTTTATTTTGCTCAAGTGCGATTTAGGTGAGCGTTTAAATTGTGTAAACATATTTACCTTGTGAGGTTTTCTCAATTGTTTGCTTTAGTAATTCCTCTTGTGAAGAGAGTGTAAGGTTTTAGAGTATAAACCTTGTGTAATGTTGTAAGATTATAGCTTGTCCTTGAAGGTTAGCAAATCTAGTGAATTTGAGAAATTCTTACTGTGGATGATAAGGTAATGGACGTAGACTTGGTTTAAAAGTCGAACCACTATAAAATCGTTGTGCAAATCTTTCTATTCTTCTGTTGCTTCCACAAATTTTTTAAAATACTAATTCACCCCATCTTAGCCTCTTTTCGATTGTTCGTAAGAGCTGACAAATCATTAAAGAGTAAACACAACAAAATTTTAACTCCCGACAGTCCTCTAGAGGGCTAATTAACCCTCCGTCTCATCAGAGTGTTCCTAAATAAGGTTACGAGTCGAACTTTCAATTTTCAAACACACACTCTTAGGCAAGAAAGAAGTTTGCATGGCATACAAGGGTATAATGTTCAAAACTGACCAAGTGAAGGTCACCCAACCCAAATAAGGTCCGTCTCTAACGGACCTTCTGAATTGTTTAGTCATCCACTTATTCTAGTGGTCTCATTTTGATCACACATCGTTAAAATATAAATAGAAACACTAGCGTGGTATTTTAAAAAATCACTTGATGATGTGGTATTAACTTATAGTGAAACATCAACATCGCCGTTATTTTTTAATAGCGGGTAACCAAAATGTAAAATTAAGGATGGTTTAGAAAAAAATAATTAAATGACTAAAAAATAATTAAATGACTAAAATGAATATACAAAAGTAAATGGATGACTAAATACATAATTTATCCAGAAAAATCCTATACGCGGATTCTCACTGACCATATATATTTTTCTCGAGAAAATATCCTCATCAAGTAAACAAAGCTCCCAGAACTGACAAAACCAGATTTCCTCGTCGCTCAAGAATACTAAAAGTTTCTCGAGAAAATTCCCGTATTTTCTGTCAAATCAAAGACCCTTCCTACTCCTTTCATAAACCCTAGATGTCAACGTCAAGCCAACCTCAATTCCGTTATACCCAGACGCCATCGAAGGTCCTCCATCTCCGTAATCTCCCATGGGAGTGTTCGGAAGAGGAACTCGTCGAGCTCTGTAAACCCTTTGGGAAGATCGTTAACACTAAGTGCAATGTCGGCGCCAATCGGAACCAAGCTTTTGTTGAATTTGTAAGCTTCTAAATCCTTCCTTTTTTTAAGTTCTTTGTTTATTGTTTATGGATTGCCTTGTGTTGGCGAAAAATAAAGTTGAATTTGTGTTGGGTAAGGGCAATCAACTATTGATTGCCTACACTTTTGGGAATTTGATTTTCTAGTGTAAATTTCAGTGTGTTCCTTCAAATTGTCAAAGTATGACTTCTTTTTGTGAGATTTGTTTTCTTTGCACTGCGTTGATTTTTTAGCTGATTTTTTTAATACTTTGATGTGTAAATTTGATGGGGTTAATTGCAGAATTGCAAAGTGTTATTATTTCTTTATAATTTGGTGGTGATTGGCCTGATTATTTTGTTCTCATTTGAGAGTGTAAAAGATATGTTATTATGTGACCCGAGTTTGAGCAGTTTTGTCAGCAGTTGTGTGCGAGTTTATTCATATTTGAAATCAGACACATATATGACCTTGTAATCATATTAGAATCTTCAAAAAAGAAAAAAAGAAAGTGTAAACATTGATGTGTTAACTTCACCACCAATCGGGTTGGATTTTGAATTTTCTTGGATGATGGTTTATTTTGATTTCTCAAGGGTAACTTATCATTTGAGTTCTATTCTTCTTCTTTTAGTTTGAATATCGATGGATTAATTTCATCCAGTGAAATTTAGAGAATATTTGCAGGTTGAGCAGTTATGTTTTTATGTTACTCAATTATGTTACTTTTATTTTCAGGTAGACTTAAATCAGGCTATTTCGATGGTTTCATATTATGCTTCTTCATCAGAGCCAGCACAGGTTCGTGGAAAAACTGTATATATTCAATATTCAAACAGACATGAAATTGTCAACAACAAGGGTCCGGGAGATACCCCAGGAAATGTTTTGCTAGTTACCATTGAAGGTGTGGAAGCTAATGATGTGACCATTGAGACAATTCACTTGGTAAGTGCTTATTACTGGCATGCATTTGTCAACTAAATGCCTTCAATTGTTACAGATTCTCTATTCTATTTCTGCTAAAAGAATTGGTTCTCTAGATTTTTTAAAGCCACTTTTTGCTTCAGGTGCTCTAGGTTAAGGAGCACATTTGTATGATTAAATGAAGACATCTTGAATTTCTATGTCTGGACTCTAGACTCTAGAAGTGGTCTACTTTAGTTCGTCAAAATCTTGTGAACTACCATGTGTGAAGTACCACTTCTATTTTCGTATGTTATTTCTTATTCGATTGATGAGAGATGCTTGATTTTTCTTAAATCCTGTAGTTTAAGGAATATGCTTTTTAATAGGAGAGCACAAGACCGTTTCTTATAGATTTGAAATGAGTGAAACTGTCCTTTACATAAATAGAGATAGCAGTTTTTTGTCGAAATCAGTTGAATCCTGGATGGTTATACCCCTTATTTATATTCTTTTGTTGGAGACAGTTTGGCAATATTATCATGTACGTCATACTCCTTTCTAAGGTCTATCTTGAGGCATGTATGCACAGGTGTCATTCTGCACTTATTTCTTGTCCATTTGGATTTGCTAACAAAGAATTTTACATTATACCCATGTTTGTGACGGTTTCTAATGTTCTTTTCTTATTTTTATTTATGATATCTACCTGTTTCTGTTTTAATTTTGTTCCAGGTATTTTCTGCATTTGGTTTTGTTCACAAAATTGCTACATTTGAAAAGGCTGCCGGATTCCAGGTGAGAGGGCAAAAGCGCATTTAGATTTTTGGATCTGTGGCGATTACTTGTTTTTCAATACGATGTTCATGTTTATGACAATTGTTGGCAGGCATTAATCCAATTCACTGATGCTGAAACTGCTTCTTCAGCGAGGGATGCCTTGGATGGTAGAAGTATTCCCAGGCATGTACTTCTTCCTTGCTTCTTCTTCCTCCTTCTGCACCAGCACACTCATTTTTCTCATTTCTCTAGCATCATCTAATTCTCTTCATATTGATTATAAACGTATGGTTTGAGAATTGAAAAAAATTGGTTGCATGCTAATGTTCTTTTCATGATGTTGTTTAGGTACTTGCTTCCAGCTCATGTTACTTCTTGTCACCTGCGAATCTCATATTCTGCACACACTGATCTGAATATCAAGTTTCAGTCTCATCGGAGCAGGTACAAGTGGATCCATGAAAACATGTTGTTTTCTCATTGAAATTCAATGTTTTGGTCATGTTTATTCCTGAAATTTCAAGTAATGTGATTGCTAAACTTTTATTGTGGCACCTGATACATTGTTCATCACTTTCCGTTGGTTAAAATGAACAGTAACATCTGGAGAGTCGGCTGTGTTATGCTAGTCTTTAATCGATAAAGTTTGAAAGCTTTTGTTTCTCGTTTTTATATAATTCAAATCAGCTGGAAACTCATATTTGCTTGATCTTTTATTTCTGTTAATCAGGATGCTGCTGTATTGAGCCCACAATTCTTCTCATTTTGTGTATTCATTTGCAATAGCATCACGTTGTTACCCTAACATGCTTTCTATCTTGATCAAATTGCAATATATATTTGACATTGGGCTATGCATTTGTACTTTATTTGTAATGATTATATTAAAGTTCCCGATTTTATTTGCGCATTTTGTAGGGACTATACCAACCCATACCTTCCTGTTAATCCAACTGCAATGGAGGGTCTTATGCAGGTAATGCTTTCATTTACAAACATATGAGCTATTTCTTAGTAGTGACTTTCACTAATATGTTGTAATCTTCAGCCTGTAGTTGGTCCAGATGGAAAAAAGCAAGAACCTCAGAGTAATGTGCTACTTGCTTCAATTGAAAATATGCAGTATGCTGTGACAGTAGATGTTCTTCACACTGTAAGGCATCCTGCTTCTTAATTGACATGGAAATGCCGGTTCATTGTTTCAAAAGTTTCACATATTATTCTACCGGTTGCTTATTGTAGGTATTTTCTGCATTTGGTGCGGTCCAAAAGATTGCTATATTTGAGAAGAATGGTGGAACACAGGCACTAATTCAATATCCTGGTATTCTTTTATCATATGATTTTTTAATTGTTCTAGGTATGTTTTAGGCAGTGTTGTTTTTTGATAAGAAAAGGAGGCCTCATTAAAACCCCCTTCATAACTTTCAAAATACAAATGTATCTCAACGGACATTGGAAGGAGGAAAAGAGTACCTCAAAATTTTATTACCTAATAGCAAAAATACACAGTACAGAAAAACGTACAACAGAATTCACACCAAAGCACTGCCTCCTACAAACCATAAATAAAAATTCCCTCATCCAATTCCTAACTTAACTAGATCATCCGCCTCACAATTCACAACTCCTTTAATATGCCTAACAATAACATTCCTATCCACTACAATAGGCACTATTTCCTCCACTAGAGATTTAAATAAGGCAGAACAAGAACCCGGATTCTTGATCCAATCTAAGGGTTTGCTGCAATCACTTTCCGAGATAAGTCTTCCCTTAGAACTCCAAGCCGATTCCATGAAGAAAACTAATCCCGCTTTGATTGCCAAAAGCTCTGCCATAATTGGGGGGCCCGAACCAACACTCTCAGAAAAATTCCCCAGCACCATGCCTTCATCATCACGTAATAAACCACCAATATCCCCTTTAAGCCATAGCTTGTCCATTGCGCCATCCACATTCATTTTGAAGAAACCTTTAGGAGAAGGGCACCAAGATAAAGAACCGAAGGATGTTTCTTGCTGTTCGACCAAGAGTCAGCCAAAGAAGGATTTCCCACCAAACAATCAAAAGGAATAGGGACTTTCGGAAATTTCGCCGAATACATGCAACCACCCTATACCTTGTTAGGAAAAAAAGGAGAGTTTGATCTAAATTCTTCCTCTCAAGAAAGCAGTGTTGTCAAGGTGTGTCGGTGCTAAGGCTTAGTGCCAGATGACAAAAGTGCCTTAGGCCTTGTCAGGCACGACACTTTTGATTTGGCACATGCTTGGCGTACCTAGACTAATTTTTATGCAAGGGTATAGGATCAAAGACAGCTTGCCTGACTATGTTCTCTTGCCTTTATTTTTATGTGTTTTTTTCACATTAATTGTACTGCTAATTGTAAAATAAGCGGGTATAATATTGACTCTCTACTTTGCACAATCATTTTTTTTACAAAAGTTATTTAAAAACCAAAGCTAAGGGTAAGCAGATAATATCATTGATGTTGTGCATCACCATTGATGCGAGCTAGGTTGCTTAGCTTTTGTGGCATTGTAGCCTAGGAACAAAAGTAACTAACAGAAATTTTCTATCAGATTACTTTATGAAAGGAAGAGAGGTTTGGTGCATATACTTTTGTGAAATTTCCATTCCCATTTTCAGACGCTTTTTAGATGACTGCATGCTCAAAATTTTGAGAAAATGATTAGTATAACCTTTAATACTCATTAATACCTGAACGTTAGTCCATGCAACATTGTTTGAGTATTCTAATATAAACTTGTGGTCATGGACAAGTTGTGAATATTGGCCAAAAAAAGGAAGAGAAATTCTGCATCTTTTGTGAGATTGAAGTAGACCACTCTTTAGAGTTTATCTCTTAATCTTATTTTGTACATGTACATGTACATGTACATATGCATATACATATACATATACATATACATATAAATATACATATACATATACATATGCATATTGCTAGTTGCTACCTCTATGTGAGGGGTCTCTGTTTAGTGTATGCTAATGAAACCTTGACCCTCTCTTTTGAAAGACGAGATCCAGATATTTTGTTCCATTTTCTTCTTTATATATGTGTGTGTGTGTGTGTCTATTTTATTATAATATAATTATAGCATCTTTCCCTTTACATTGCTTTGTATTGAAATTTTTGTTGCATTTCTATGTGATGGAAATATTTTTTTCTTTTTTCCTTCTCAACTGTCAAATCTTTGAGTTTGTCCTACAACCTGAAATTATTATCATTATTATGTATGTATGTATGTATGCATTATTTTGTTAGATATTTTGGTAGGCTTTACTGACATAGAATTTGTTACATTCAGATGTCATGACCGCTGCTGTCGCCAAAGAATCCTTAGAGGGACATTGCATATATGATGGTGGCTATTGTAAGCTTCATCTATCATACTCTCGTCATACTGATCTCAATGTAAAGGTATAAATATGTGGTTTTGAGTTAGTGTTCATAAGAAAACGGAAAGAAGAAAAATAAATTAACGACCTCTTTAGAAGATAAAGACGATCCATTTTTCCAAAAAAGAGAGGATATGAACACTTAAATGTATGCTTCTCGACACTTGTTTACGATCCTTACCTGCTAATTTAGTTCTATTATATGGCTTGATACACATTCTCTACATGTGATTCTTGATTAGTTTCACTTTTGCCGCACAGGCTTACAGTGATAAAAGTAGAGATTACACGATCCCGGACCTAAGTTTGCTTGCGACACAAGTTCCCGGTATGCCTGCTGGTTCAAATGCTTCAAATGTTTGGCAGAATCCTCAGAGTGCTCCACTGTACCCTGGGACTGACTATGCAGCTTCAGCTGCAATTCAAGCTCAACCCTCTGCGGGACAAGTCCCAGCATGGGATCCAAGTTTACAGGCTAGGCCACCATACAGATCTGTGCCCGGAACCGTTCCTGGTCAAGCTTATCAACCGTCTGCAGTCTCTGGGTATATGAATGCCGCACCACCTGCTGGTTCATCACCCCTTTCCCTACCTGGCTTGGCTTCCATGGGAATGGCGCCACCAGGGGCAAATGTTAGGACCGGTGGTGCACAACCTCCAGGTCAGCCTCCTTATTACGGTCAATGATCATTTTCTTTACGTCTCCCAAGTCGAAATGATTTGAAATTAGATCTCTTGGTATGCAAATCTCTCTGACCCTTTAAGTTAAATTTTTGTTGGCTTTTCTTTTTGTACCTTTTTCTTATAATTCTGAAACCGTTTCCATTGTTGGATTTAAAAGGAGATTACATTCAAATGAGTTGGTAAATCAAAGTGGAAGCCATGTTTTCCATGCATTTAGATTCTCCTGCAAACCATTTTTGCCTTCGGACCTATCCGTAAATCGTTTCGGCTTTGAAACGATGATGGTCCCTCCATCACCTCCATGATCATGTGATTTGCATCTAATCATTCATATGGATACCGACTAAAGAGGAGTTTTGTATATGAACAAATATCTAATGGACTGGTATATATGAATGATATTAGGTCATGTCCCCCAAAAAGTTTTAGGTTCAATTACATCTTAGGTCCCTATTAATTTTGAATCTAATCAAATTAAGCCTATTTCTTTTTCATTTTAAATACTTCTTAGGTCTCTGATCGTAGACAAACTAAGCATATTCTCATTGACTTATTTAGATTATATTACCCCTGAAATAAGAGGTTTATTTCGATCTGATAAACTTGATCTGAATTAAATTATTCGAATCAATTTATCTAACTTAAGACTCGATATAAATTCGGGCATGACTATTTTAAACTTGATCCCAAGCTTAAAACAAATCAAACTAAACCGAAATCGATCTAAATTTTATCTGGTCTGATATGAATTTAGACTAAAGAAACTAACCCCCAATATAATGATAAAGCCATTCTTGTGCCAAAAATAAATTCTTATCTTATATTGTGATATTTTTATTAATAATAACAGTTAATTTTATTAAATAAATTCTTAATATTTTTTTCAAACTTAAAAAAATAAATATAAATAAATATCATTATTGTCAGTAAAAAATGTTATTAATACGAACATAAAAATGACATAATGATAATATATTAATAAATATCATTTTTGTTGACCGGTTTTTAAGGTTTTGTTTTGACTAATTCAGATCGATCCGGATCGTATACTTGATTCTGGTAGGTGAGTTTCTCAACGCGGAGTTTCTACATACAAAAAAGTTAAATTAAAATAATCACTAAAACAGTTAAATAAATATCAACAAAAAAATTAGTTTCAAATTTAATCGAGAAAAAAAATACAAATTGAAAATTGTTTTGAGGAATTCTAGGCAGATTTTTTTCCTTCAACACACAAAAAAACTATTTGATTTAATTATTATTTTATTATTAATAATTTTAATTATATTTTTTAATTAATTTATTTTTATAAATTAAAGTTAAAATTATTTCTATTTTAAATCAAGTCGGATTTGGGTAAGTGGGTGATATCTAATCAAAGATGTGGAAGATGTGGGGGCATGGTCCCATTTTTAGAAGGCTGTCATCTCATTCTCATTCTTATTCTCATTCAATTATGGGTAAATTTGTATTTAGTCACTCATCTATTTAAGTAATTTTATTTTGGTCAGTCAACTATATTTAAAAAAAAGATACATAACATTATGTTGAAAACATTTTGATATTTCGATATAACAAATTAAGTTAAATGAATTTTAAGATTTTCCAAAATATTTTTCTATGTATATTCAATATAATTATTCGAATATCAAAATATTACTTCAAATGTCATTTTTAATCCTTACTCAAGTGTAAAATTAAGTTTTAATCTAAAAATAATTTCAAAACAATTTTAAAGCCAAAAATTCCAGATTGCTCAGAGGGAACCGATTTCCCCCAAGGGGGTACCGATTCCCCCTGAATGGTTTGGCTCCTAGAAAAACAGAATGCTCGGAGGGAACCGATTCCCCCATGATCAACGATCGAAATATTTGAATTTTACACTTATGGAACCGATTCCCTATGAGGAGGTATCGATTCCCTTCACGTTCCAAGTTGTTTTATTAATGGATTCTCATCTCCAAACGGCTCCAAAACATCCCCAACGACTATATACGATTTCAAACACATTCCAAGCTATAAATACAAGCTAAGGACACTTGAAGAAGCAAGAGAACAACTATCCAAGCAATCAAAAACAAGAGAAGAGTTTTTCATTCTTATTTCATCTTTCTCTTGTAAATATTTTGTTCTTGTGAGCTCAATCTTGTAAACACCTACCTTAGAGAGGTTTTCTTGTTTACATCTTTTATCCTTTTGTAAAGGGGAAAGGTTCTAGCTTATCCCGTGTAAAATCTAGGGAAAAGGTTCTAGTTTAGCCTGGAAAAACTAGGGAGTTGTAAGGTTACTATTTGTCCTTAAAAGAAAGAACAAATTAGTGAATTTATTGGAAAATCCTTGGTGAGGAGCTAAGGTAGTGGACGTAGACTTTGGTTGAGAAAGTTGAACCACTATAAATCGCTGTGCAATTCTCTATCTTTCAATCTCCTTACTCCCTAAACACAAAACCGTTCCGACCCCTCTTTGCAAATCATTCCGGTTGTCGATTCAAGCTTCTGAAAATCCTAACACATTATGTTTTAGTCCTTGTTGTTAAAAAATATACAGAATTATTGATATTTTTTTTTTATTTTTTCAATGATGATGTTATATTATTTTATGATAGCATATCAACATCACAATTGACTTTTTAACGAAGGGCGAACAAAATGAAATCAAAATAGCTGGATAGCTTTTAAAAATGGTGAACCTCAACATTATGTATTGGGATTATTTAAAAAATAGGGTAAATTACATATTTAATACATAAACTATTGATTTTGGTTCGTTTTAGTACCTAAACATTTAATTTTTTCAAAATCACGAAACATTTAGTTTTATTTTGTTTCCGTATCTCATCGTCAAAAACTTAATGGGTAGTTTGCACGTGTCACCTTTTTTATGGGTAAATTGAATCATTCATCACTCAACTATCTTCTCAATCATATTTTGGTCACTAAAGTTTAGTTTTTTTTAATTTAATTACTTAACTTTCAAATTACTCCTAATTTAATCACTCTAACTTTCATTTTATTATTTTTATTATATAATAAAATAATAATAGAAAATGTCATGTCACAAAATTATTAATTAAATAAATTATTTTTTTATTTTTATATTAATATGGGATAAGTACAAGGTAATATATATTCAAAGATAACTCTCAACCATTTGATATTGAACGTTCACACCTCTAGTATTCCTAGTGCTCGAACCCGATACCTGAAGGAATAACAACAATTCCTTTACCACAGAGGTTGCTTGGTTCGTGCTAATAAAATAAATTAGAGTGGTTAAAATAGGAGCAATTTGAAAGTTGAGTAGTTAAATTGAAAATTTTTAAACTTTTGTTCCAAAATAGGAGTGAAAATAGTTGTGTGATAAATGATATAATCTAACCATAAAAAATGCAGTGACATAAACAAAAACTAAATGTTACGTATGATTTTGAAAAAATTAAAAGTTTAGGTACTAAAACGAACCAAAGATGATAGTTTAGGTACTGAATGCGTAATTTACCCTAAAAATATTTAAATTATGGGTCTAATAATGAAATATATTTTATGAAAGGTAAATAGTGATTATCATCGTTATTAGATTATTTATAATTACACTTTATTAATTAAACATGTTTAAAATAATTTAAAATTTATTATGATATATAAAAATGCATTTATTAATCTAAAAAACATATTTTTGTGTGCGAGTAGTTTATGATGTCTAAACAAATGAAATTAAAGTAGCAAATATTTTACCAACAACCAGTTGGTCTAGTGGGATGAGGTACTAAGTAGGGGTGTATTCGGTTCGGTTCGGTTCGGTTTTTTACCAAAAATTGAACCGAACCGAAATAAACGATTTTTCAATATTTAAACCGAAACCGAATAGTTAAAAAACCTAAAAAACCGAAATCGGTTTTATCGGTTCGGTTTTTTTAACGGTTCGGGTTTTTCGGTTCGGTTCGGTTCGGTTTTTCGGTTTTTCAATGAAAAAATCATTTGAAACTATAATTTTTTTTTACAAAAATTGCCTATTCGGTTCAATATGGAACAAATGGGTTTCATATGAAAAATCTAAACCGAACCGAATCAAAAAAATGAAGCCTTTAAACCGAACCGAAAACCGAACCGAACCGTTTTACTCGTTTCGTGTCTGTTTTTCAGTTTTCTCGGTTTCGTTGCTCAGCCCTAGTACTAAGTCCCTTAAGCAAGGCTAGGGGTTCGAATCCTAGCGTTTGTGAATGGAGCAAATTGGGTTGGAAGGGTCGCCTTTGCCTCTACAATATATGACCTGAATTAGTCGGTCAATAGATCGGATATCAGTGGTTAATTCAAAAAGTAACAAATATTTTTAATAATTTTTTTCTTCAAAATAGTCCCAATTTTTTCATGGTTTATTGGAGAAAATAAATGTAATATTTTCCCCAATCTCCAAATTATTAATTATCATATATGATATGTTGTAATGGGCCTGGAAGCCCACAGTAAAGTTTTGTTCCATCACTCTTTATGGGCAAAATTGACCTAATACTGTAGGGGCTATTATTTAGTCCAATACAGTACAAAATAAATTATTTAGAGATCTACGACATTTATTATAGTGACTTGAAATTCGTCACATCAATATAATAAATTTTAATAAAATATATTTTTTATTCAAAAATTTCACCCTAATGTGATAAATTCTAATAAAAAATTGTGCTCTCGTTCAGCTTCAAGTAAATGACAACTATTCGTGCAATTGCATTGTTCTGTCATGGTGCATTGTTTTGCCTTTGAATTAAAAAATTGTGCGTTTTACTGATATGAAGTGATATATCACCACTGAAATTTTTTCTAAAATGAGTTGATATATTACTGAAAAGTTGCTGAATATGATTAATTGAGCAATGGAAAGTTGTTGAAGATGATGAATTGTACACACTTAGATTCTGCCATGCTGCATTATTTGTCTATGAGATGACATTTTACTGAAAAGTTTCAATCACCGAATTGAATGGTTATTGATGATAGATCGAACCCAACTTAATTTAATAACTAGCAATTTATCTTAAACTATAAATGGCTGTCCCTTGTTCCCATATGTAATGGGGTAAGGGGGAGGTAAGATAGTAGGCTACCCCCAACACTAGGTTGAGAGCAGCTTCCGTAAGAGACCTCCAAATTATGAAATACCCTCCATGGGACCTGATCCCACGACCTCAAGGCTAAGA